CGATAGTAGTATAGATAGAGGAAAGGCGGTATAACTTAAGATAAAAAAGAGATTTATATTTAATGAAATATTAGAATAAGATAATAATATAAAATTAGTAATAGTAGAGAAGAAAGTAGAATAATATAGTTAATATAAATATTACAGATATTAATTATAAGATATTAGATTTTTTTCTATTTTAAGATATATAATCATATTATATTCTATGTTATTTCGATTATATTTTATTAATATATTATATATTAATTCTAATAGCTATTCTAGATTAGATAAAGTAATTTTAAACGATATATTTATATCGAGGAACTTTTAAGAAATATATTTTTAATACTATTTTTACCCCTTCGCTAGTATTAAGCTATATGATATTTTATTATCTAATCTAAATCTTTATATTAAGCGTAAGAATAAGGAGTTAACGTATATTAATAGTAGCGTATAAGCTATTAAAGTATTTTTAAGTTCGCTTAATCGAGTAGCGAAAGCGTATAAAGAAATTTACTTAATAGATTATAATTATATTAAGTAATAAAGTATTATAATAAGTTACTTAACGATTTTATATTCTATTAAGATATTTCGTTATACTATTATACTACTATACTACTATACGACGTATTATCGAATATACGAATACTACGAGAAGCTATTTTAATCTTAATAGAGACTTATCTAAAAAAAAAAAAGTAGCGCTACAGTTAATATTATAAATTGATTATCTTAAGCGTATATCTATTAAATATAATACTATTTTTTCTTTAGATAGATTAGTTATATTTATTTATATTATATAGTACTTATTTAATATATAGACTAATATATAGTTAAAGCTCGAAGAAGAGATAGCGTTACGTAATAATATTAGTATATATAAAAGAATAAGATAGAGCTAAGCTTGAAAATCTTAAATTTATATATATAGCTAATTATAAATTTAGAATTACTACGCTCTTTAATTAGACCGACTAAATTAGCCTATTAGCCCTTTCGAGTTCCCTTATTAAAAATTTATATATAGAAGTTTTACACTCTAAAATAACCAGCTCTCTACGAATACTATTTCTTTATAATTTCGTAAATTATAGAGCTTAATTTACGCTTTCTAACGCTATAAAAATAATAAAGTTTAATCTACTATTAGTAAATAAAATAAATATTTAAATATAATAGTTATAGTAGCCATATCAGACGTATTCGAGATCGAATAATAATTCTTTTATTTATTTATTTATTTATATAATTATTATTCTTTTACTACTCTATTAATTCTATTAATTTCATTAATATAAATATAATCGTTCTCGATACCTCTTATAAAAACGTTACTAAACGCTTTAGGTATATATATCTCTTTTACTCGTCTCTTAAAGTCTCTATTAACGCGAATTTATTACTATTAATAATCGAGGCCGTAAGCGAGCTTAATAGCTATCTATTACTACTTATAAACGCGTTAAAAAGCTCTTAAAAAGAGTTTAAACGAATTTATAGCTATTATTCTCCTCTATATATTACTCGACTAATTATTTAATTAATATTATCTATTTTATTAGCTTAATAATTTATTTAATTAGTTATTTAGTTAATTACTTAATCTAATACTCTATAAGAGAAGAAATAAGAGAAGAAACTATAATAGATAAATGCGAAGAATACTACGGAGAATACTATGGAAGAATACTACGGAGAAACTAAGTGATAATAAGATTACTATCGTTAAGAATACGACTTAGCTCTTCGAGATCCCACGTTATATACTCTTTATAGTTTTATATTAAATTATTACTTAATAAGCGAAGAATACTACTATAATTTAATTTATTATTTCTACTATATTAAGAAGTAAGAAAAGAAACTATAATAGATAAATACGAAGAATACTACGAAGAAATTAAGCGATAATAAAACTATTATTATTAAAAATACGCCTTAGCTCTCTAAGATCTCACGTTATATACTCTCTATAATTTTATATTAAATTATTACTTAATAAGCGAAGAATACTATTATAATTTAGTCTATTATCTTTACTATATTAAGAAATAAGAGGAGAAACTATAATAGATAAATACGAAGAATACTACGAAGAATATTATAAAGAATATTATAAAGAAATTAAGCGGTAATAAAGTTATTATTATTAAGAATATAGCTTAGCTCTCTAAGATCTTATATTATATTAATTATTTACTTAATTAATTACTTAGCTAATTACTTAATCTAATACTTTATAAAAAAAGAAGTAAAAGAAGAATCTATAATAAGCGAATATAAAGAATATTACGGAGAAACTAAGCGATAATAAGATTTTTAATATTAAGAATACGACTTAACTCTTCAAGATTCTATATTATATACTCTCTACGATTTTATATTAAATTATTATTTAATAAGCGAAGAATACTACTATAATTTAATTTATTATTCTTACTATATTAAGAAGTAAGAGAAGAAACTATAATAGATAAATACGGAGAATACTATAGAGAATACTATAAAGAATACTATAAAGAAACTAAGCGGTAATAAGATTATTATCGTTAAGAATACGACTTAACTCTTCAAGATCTCACGTTATATACTCTCTACGATTTTATATTAAATTATTACTTAATAAACGAAGAATATTATTATAACTTAATTTATTATTCTTATTATATTAATATAATATATTACTATAATAATATTATAAGAGAAGAATCTACTATAATAATTATAGTTAATTAGATCTCTATAGAAGAAAAATTATAAGAGAAGAAATTATAATAGATAAATGCGGAGAATACTACGGAGAATACTACGAAGAATACTACGGAGAAATTAAGCGGTAATAAAGTTATTATTATTAAGAATACGGCTTAGCTCTCTAAGATCCCACGTTATATACTCTCTACGATTTTATATTAAATTATTATTTAATAAGCGAAGAATATTACTATAATTTAGTTATTCTATATTAAATTATTACTTAGTAAACGAAGAATACTACTATAACTTAATTTATTATCTCTACTATATTAAGAAGTAAGAGAAGAAACTATAATAGATAAATACGAAGAATACTACGGAGAAATTAAGCGGTAATAAAATTATTATTATTAAGAATACGACTTAGCTCTTTAAGATTCTACGTTATATACTCTCTATGATTTTATATTAAATTATTACTTAATAAGCGAAGAATACTATTATAACTTAATCTATTATCTCTATTATATTAATATAATATATTACTATAATAATATTATAAGAGAAGAATCTATTATTATAATTAATTAGATCTCTATAGAAGAAATATTAGATAATATATATTTAGACGAATTAAAATCATCCGATGTCTATAGCTATTTTATTATTCGAAAGATTTTACTACGATAGAAGATATTATGAAATTCACATCACTAATTAGCACGTTATCTTTATTTCTTTTCGATATTTTAATACTTCTTATTATAAGAACGTAGTCTTTCTCTATTATTTATAGGTAATTATTACGAATTAATTCTTTATACTTAATATATCTTCCTAATTAGACCTTAGCGCGCCTCTCTTTATATATATATATTTATATATAGATTAAAAACGTATAGTAAGCGATTAGAGTTCGATTTAACTTAGAGCTAGAGCTAAAATTCGATTTAACTTAGAAAAATCTAACTTTATAAATTTAATTTATAGGCCTTTACTTATTATAGATTAATAGCGTAGCGTAGCGTTTATTTTAGCTATCTAGATAATAGATATAGTAGCTATTAAGTAAACTAAGTAGATATCTATTATCTAGATATACTAGTAAGACGTATAGTTAAAGATATTAAATATAGTTTATATAGAATTACTAGTAGTATACTAAGATATAATAAGCCACTAATATAGAATTACTACTATATTATTCTATTATCGATTTTTCATTAACTATCTATTAACTCTTTATTAACTATTTATTAACTATTTATTAACTTTATATTAATACGTAAGTTTAAATAAATAATAGATTTTACGAAACTTATTATAAGTAAGAACGATAGATATTTTATATTAATATATTATAAAGAATATAAATTATTTAAAATAGACTATTTTATCTAATTCGATATATAGTCTTTATTATATAGTTTATATTATTCGTTAAAATAACTAATCTATATAAAGTAGATCTAAAATTCTCGCTACTATTAAGGTCTATAAGATATCTAACTAACTATCTAACTAACTATAACGAATTTAATCGATATCGACTTACTTTAAGTACTTCGAAATCTTATAAAATAAATAAAAATAAGAACGAGGGTGAAATAGAGATCTTAGGCGAGTTTTAACTCTACGTCTTCTATTATTATTTTAATATCTTCTTTTAATTAATATAAAATCGCTAATAAAGATCTTTAGCGAATAGAGAATATTATATTTATAATATATAGAGTAATAGCGAGTTAAGAGATAAATATCTTCTATAACTCTATCTTATTCTTTTATATATATTAATAAGTTTTTATTATTCGATTAAATTTACTTAAGTTAAAAATTTATCTATCTAATTATATAATTTAATTTATAGAAATTTATTATTACTTAGATATTTATATAAGTATCGTTATTCTATTAATTTATAATTACTATTATAATATCTTAGATTTCTAGATATATCGTATTAAAGAATAATACGCTATTTTAGAGAAAATAATTTGCTATTATTTTACGAAAAGCATTACTAAGAATATATAACGTATTTAAAAATTTCTAGTATCACGGTTACATTACTAAGTAACCGTTAAAAGACGATAATTTTCACTAATTTAGTATAGGTACGGTTACCGCAACTCATAGCCCTTCGCTAAGGTAGTTGTTATAGCTTTAGACTGCATACAGAAATGAAGAACTAAAAAAAAAAACCTGCTAAGATCTCGCCTCGGCAGAATTCCTCAAGAACTGGTGTTCATTCCGACTCCCCGGCTCGAATACCCGGTAAACACTTGATAAAGACGTTAGTCACACAGATGCTGCCTCTCCGCGGAGCTTGGAGACATCGATGTCTTTCAAGGTGTTCCAAGCGCGGGCTGAGCTTGGCATACACACTGCATGAGCCTCATAAACCCCAATTGGATCATGCCCCTTTGATCGTTTTGCACGGGCTTTTCGGCTCCAAACAAAACAACAGGAGCATCAGTAAGTATGGCTTCTCGCACCCAGATCTTCAGGTTCATCATCTAACTGCAGTAGGGCTCTTGCGCGAGACCTTAAATCGCGAGTGTATGCCCTTGTCAGTCTTTGATATGGCGGCGAAGGAAATACGTTTCGCTGATTAGCTGCCAGGATTTGAGAAACCATGGCGACTCACCCCACGATGCTGTACACGACTATGCAGCGATGGCCGACGACCTGGAAGAATTCATCCAACAGCATGATCTGCGGTTACCTACATTGATAGGACATTCAATGTCTGTTCCTATACTTTGCATAAGGTCTTGGACAACGCTGAAGGCATAGAAGGGGCGCAAAAGTAGCAATGACCGTGGCACTGCGATCTCCTCAGGTTGTGGGAGGTTTGATAGCGGTCGATAACGCACCCGTCGATGCCATTCTGAAGAGTGACTTCCATAAGTACGTTCAAGGTATGCGGGACATTGAACAGGCCCAGGTCAGTAGACAAGCCGAAGCAAATGACATTCTCAAGAAGTATGAGGAGGTTGGTTGGCAAATCCTGATTCCTGCCTGCTTCCTGCATAAGTCTTACTCCGTCAGGCCTTGCCCATTCGGCAGTTTCTCCTCACCAATCTTGTAAGGTCTTCGGACGGAGAACTTTTACGATTTCGTATCCCTATCAAGACCCTCGCTTCGAGTCTCGACAAGATGGGTGACTTTTCTTTCAATAACCCTGATGAGGTCCGCTATGACGGCCCAACACTAATCGTCCGCGGTACAAAAAGTCACTATGTAGCAGATGATGTGCTGCCTTTGATCGGACGATTCTTTCCAATGTTCAAGTTGGTTGACATTGACAGCGGTCATTGGGTTATTTCTGAGAAGCCAGAGGCATTCAGGAAAGGTACTTAATGAAGTTTCCATACCCGCCCACAATGCTGACCTGCTAGCTGTGGTGGAGTTTTTAGAGGATGCAGAGGGATGAGACATGTGATGAGGCTATCAAACCTTTGAACATTTGTTGCACCTACTCTCCATTGCGATTTCTCTACGACGGAAACTGCGGTTCGCCGATATCCACATCGTTGATTGGAAAAATTGCGCGCTGCCTTCATACTCCAATCTCACTACTTGCCCGAATTCTCCGCGAATGCTCTATGACAGGTCGGCCTTTGGGGGCTCCTTGACGAGATCAAGGTTGCAGATATTGGCCAGCGAGCGCGCAGCCAATTATGTCTCATCAAAATGGCCAAACAAATCTCCGTCTTCGTGGCGACCAAGTCAGGATGAGGTACTTCCGTACATTGTGCTGAGCTACGCTGAGGCTGGCTCATGAGTTCGATTACGATTAGTGGGTCGAGGCGATCGACATCGACTTTTGGAACAGAAATTAAAGACTGGTCCAAGGATATCTGAGGATTTGTGGATTTTATGCCTATAGTGATGACATGCTTGCACAGAATTGCGCAAGAGCGCGGCCGGCTTTGCTGCATGAAGCTCCCTTCACAACATCCAACCAACGCTCAAACTTCATCCAGCACCGTCTCCTTGAATTCACGCTCAACCTTCTGCCCTTGCTCATCCGTTGTTGATTCACCATGGAGATTGAGAAGAGCGCCTAGATCGAACTTCGGTGCCTTCAACAACTTGACTTTTCGAATGTGAACCTATGCTCAGTTAGCATGACAAGTAGATCGAACCCAATTGCACACGAAATGACGAACATTTTGTAACGGATAGATGCCTTGCGTGGCTTTTTCGATCTCACGGCCAATCACCTCAGGAATCAACTTGGTTGTTAGCTGGGAAAGCGTGCAGCTAGATGCTTCGCGTTGGATGATCTCGACCATCTTCTTGCGAATGGCACGGATTTGAGATGACCGAGCGTACGTAGTTTTCTTGATCTGGTTGGGTCGTCTCTTGGTAAATGCAATAGCAAAAAGGCGAAGAAGGTAATCATCTGTAGACTTGACAACGACATTGGCTTCGATGAGGGATTGCCACTTGCGAACCAGTGAGCGTAATTTGTCAGATGTGAAGTCAAGTCCATGAAAATTGGTCAAGCAATTCTTGCCCTGCACCTCGTCGACCCTGAGCTTGACCTTTCGGAACGCATGGTCCTCGTCTTTCTGCAGATCGGCCAGAGAGACTTCAAATATTCTTCCCTTCAGAGCGTCATTCGCATTCTTGAGACCAGTAGTCCTGTTGACAAGTGTTTTCCCAACACTACAGATCTTAGCTATCAGTTTGGTTGATCTGGGAGGATTGTGCGTACTCGCGAACTTGGAAGGTCGATGGTGCCTTGAGAACGTTAGACAGAAGCCGGGCTTGAGCTATTCACCTCGTACCTTCACCGAATACCAATCTTTGCGAGTGAAGGGATCTTGTGTTCTCTTCTTGAGCCCTTTCTTGCCTTTTGAAAGACGCTTGTTTCTACAACGGCTGTTAGCATGAACAAAACCATCGAGCACTGGTGCCTCTGTATTGCGAGAAGAACACTCACTTTCCGACAGCCATGATTGCGGCTTGGAACGGACCTTGAGACTGGATGGGTGTGTATCGATGTGGAGAGTGGACTTTTGTGGGCAGTTCTTTAGCGAGGAGCTCAAAATGCTTGGCGCTTCTCGCACTAAGTCGCCTTTACTTATTTTCACGAGGAAACGCGGAATACTAGGAAATACGCAAATTTTAAATCCAATAAATTCGACGCAATATACCTATTATCATTATAGCTATTACTACTACGTATTTAAATAGCTTACTATTATACTTTACTATAATTAATTAATATAATAATAATAATAATATAATTACTATCTTTAAATTTAATATAATAGAACTTTCTACTTTAAATTTAAATATTATCTATATTTATTTTAATAATATATTTATTTAAATAATTTAATAATTAATCTTTTAGTTAAAGTCTTTAATATAATAGTAAATTATTATAAAAGTTAATTACTTTTTAATTAATTATTAATTATATAATATAAAACTATATATTATATTATTAAAAAAGCTTAATTAAGTATATAATTTATTCTCGCTATTAATTATAATTTTATTAAGAAACTATTTAAGAAAAGAATAATTTTAAATATAAATAAGTATATTAAAACGAAGTATAAATTAAAAATCTTAAATTATTAATATATATAAAAGAATAAGATAGAGCTAAATTAGAAAACTCTGAATTTATATATATAGCTAATTATAAATTCGTTAGATCTACGCTTTTTAATTAGATATCGCGAATAAATAAATTAGCGTTCGCAATTATTAAAAAAATAGATATACGAAGTATAAAGGGTGATATCAAAAGTCCTACACATGCGCTAAATCTCTTGGCATGCTTGGCATTTTGATAAATCTAACCTTTTTCTTGAATAGCTTCATTTTTCTAGTGATGATGCTTTATATAGCTACGTATATACTTATTTACTCGCTCCGTAGAGTTATAGGGCCGTACATCACCTCCCTCACGGCCTTCCCTATACTCGTTACCGCCCTTGAGACGAGGGTTAATTTGCCAAGCATGCCAAGAGATTTAGCGCATGTGCAGGACTTTTGGTGTCACCCTCCGTACATTATTGACACATAGAATAACTTTTTTGTTTTCTATTAACTTTTTGAGATTTTTTTTTAAATTGTAGAACGAAATCTGGGCTTTCAGATAAAAAAAGAATTTCTAAATTTAGTCTTATAATTATTAAAGCGCAAGGGATTCAAATATCGCTCACCAAAGTTCGCTCACCAAAGATCGCTCTGTCATAGTACGCCAAGGCCTTACCTCGGCTTAGGGCTAGGGCTACCTAGCGTGAGCTTGACACTATATATATCTACCCTGCAGACATACCACACATCAAATTATAACATAGTCACATTATTTTCTAACACGCTTATCTATTTACTCGATAGCTCTAATTAATAAAAAAAATTTAAATTTAATTTATAAACCTTTACTCGTTTATTAATAAAAGAATAACTTCGCTATAAGATAATTTAAATTTAAACTTTAAAGATTATACTATATTAACTTCGTTTTTTTAGAAAAGATAAAGAGAGATAAATTAAAAAAATCTAATATCTTTTATAATTATATCTTTTATATTAAATTATTAATATTTATTATTACTCGCTTTATTATAATAATAATAATAAGAAAAAAAATTTATTTTAATATAATAATAGTATTACGAGTATACTCTTAATATATTACTTAGTTCTATAATCTAATATCTTAGCGAAGATATCTTCTATTATATTATATCTTCTTTTCATTTATATAATTCGATAGTCTTATTATTCTTAATCTATCTTATCTATATTAATATTATATCTATACTAGTTCTAATAAATAAATTCTATTAAATACTTTATTATAATTTTTATTATACTTATAGTAATAAAATTAAAAAAAGATAAAGAGAATATTACTCGCTTTATTATAATAATAAAGCGAGTAATAATAAGAGAAAAAACTATTTTAATATAATAATAATTTCTATTAAAGATCTTATTATAAATTTTTATTATAAACTCTATTATAGTTATAGTAATAAAATTAAAAAGAAGATAAAAGAGAGTAATAGAAATATAAGAGAAAAAAGAGAAAAAGAAGATAATAGAAAAAGAAAAGTTAAAGAAGAGAAAATTAAAGAAGATTTAAATTTTAATAGAAAAAGAAGTAATAGAAAAAGTAATAATAACGATTTACTTTAAAATTAAAAAATTAATAGAATTTAAAAGTAAAAATTAATTAATTTATAATAGAAGTCTTAATAATAATAATAATCTAGTTTTTTTTTAAATTTATTATATAAATTTTGTGGACAGTAGGCATTTTAATATTACGTCGGATTTATCGGATTTAAAAATTACGTATTTCGTTCTTTTAGTTTTAGTAATTCATTTCGTGTAATTCAACTGGATACTTTATATTAAGAAATCACTAGGAGATCTCGATGCAGAGGTTCTCAATACCGCAATAATGTCTTTGCATCTCCCTCTGTTTCCGTCGCACTCTACCCAACTCCTTTTCTCAGCCTACCATTTTCCCCAATTATTCAAAGGTATCTTGGACATCAACAAGTGAAGTCACCTATGTGGCCTACTCACTACGCTCGATGTTCACCAGCAAATACACCATGCAAATCACTTTGTATTGCTACGTTGTAAACGCATACATAACGTTTGTACCACTCAACGAGATATGAGTCAAGCTTGGGGCTACGCTACGAGTTGGCGACCACTCTTGGGGATGAATCGATCGTCAACCGAAAAACACTTAGGGACAGATTCTAGTAGCAGACGTCGAACGGGTCTTTCCTGCTTTGAGACGTCATACTTTATTCCTAAAAGTCAATGGTCAACATCCTCCCTACGTGAAATCCGGAGTCAGCACTGCTTCTCCAAGATAAAGAGAGTGCGTTATGAGATAGACTTTGGTGAGCAGATAGAGCCGTATCCGCACGGAACATGTCCTATTCCTTAGATCTTGGCACAAGCGAAAGAACCACTGGAAGGATGCGTACCAAGCCCTGCCGTGCACTTGACTCAACTCCTCCATGCTCGGAACTTTTTCATTCGTAAAATAGCCCGCATAAATCTTGGCATCGATTTCTACTCTGCTGTCTTCTGGAATAAGCCTTTCAGGAATGGGGACACGCTCATGTATGGGTATGCCCTGGTCGACAATAGCATCATATTTCATGCTGAAAGGGCCTGCAATTAGCCATGCTCTTGCGCTCGACCACCTTCGAGCGGCGGGTAACATCCTGTGAAGGAGAACCCACTTTGACATGCTTAGCATACGATCAATCTTGGTGATGCCGAGCCAGTGCAGTATCTGTAGGTCACTTGTCAACGGAGGCCACAGAAAACACAGTTTTCCAGACATACATCGGGCATCAGTGTTTGAAATCGCATGTCCTGCACCAGTCAGTGGAGTCGAACAGAAGGTTTTTTTATTAGTTGCCAACCTTGACACCAGCAATGTTCTCCGTTCTTTGGAAATACTCACTGGCACCTTGAGAACAGTCAGCTTGCCACAGGATCAACAAGGAGAGAGAGGTGGAATGCACGATCTGTTCCCCGTTTGCCTTGAATCATGCGATGTCAGTAGCAGACTCGTGAACCGCGCAAGATCTTTGAGCTTCAGGGGACATACGAGCATTGTATACGAGGTATTTCGTAACTTCTCCTAGTGCTCTTCCCTCTTTGCGAAAATAAATGACCAAGCCAGTACCGCCTTTCTGTGCTTCTTTGACTGCTTCCTCGACGCCAAAGATCAGATAAGGCCGGCTATGAAGAGGTCGGAGTCAGCATCTTTTCGGGACAAATATTCGAGTAGCGAGACAGCTTGGAGGGAGTAGAGGGGCCCTTCTACTCCCGAGACAGGTCTTGCAACTCGGACTGTGGTATGAAGCTGGAAAAATTTGCTCCGAAATGTACATACCAGGTGCAAATATCAGACCCGAAGACATCACTTCCGTTACACTCGTCATGGACGCGTAGAGCAAGTCTGACGTTTGGATCTGAGAGTTTTGCAGGATCACCAAAGCAGTAGACCGTTAGGCCTCCGATAGGAGGGAGAAAAAGCTTGATGTCCCCACGTGTTATTAGCTCTGGGAAGGACCCCCCTGTGTTCTCGAATAAAGATCTACGCAAAGCCCCTTCGTCTGGTGTGGAGTCAGTTCGGCGAGTGCTTTAGAAGAGAACCGATATCGAAATCAAGTCTTCGCTGTTCGAATGGATGTCATACCTATTCCAAAACGCTCGGCGACACCAGGGAGAAACCAGACCGGCTCAACCGCGAACTTTGTCACGGCTAATTCTCCGAAATCGTTGAGACATATCTTCTTATCCGGGACAAGGTGACCATCACGGACACTTTGTTCGATTTCAGGGATTTTCATATGTGCCTTGGTAATAGCGATACTTGGTCTGATATGGATATTCTCATCGCGCATTATTTCGGAAAACAGCCAAGGGCTCAAGTGGCCCCACGGGTCCATGGACACAATCTTCTTCCATTGGGGAAAAGGGCCAATGTTTAAAGCTGGGCCTGCGTTGGTGAAGTCTGGCTTATGATCCACATCGAGATGTTTGCTTGCTACGGCCAATGCATGATAGATGGAGTATGAGCCGCCATGAGCACCAATTGCTATTCAGGCAAAAGTCAGAGATATCATGGGAGATAGGCTTTAGCCTCGCTTACCATTTCGACGCCTAACAGTACTCTGACTACGTGACACTACGACGGGACCTCGTTCCAGCGCGTCAACATGTCCCCATTCCATATTTAGCGGGTCTATGCCTGACTGTCCTGGATAAGTTGTTAGAATGATCCTTGAGGTGGCAGTAGAACTATGTTTCCGCCCATAGAGAGGTTCTCCATCATTACGAGCTTCGCTAATTCCTGCAGAGCTGAATTCCAGCGAAGAAGCTGGAAAATCTGGGCTAGATTCGGTGTCACCAGCGACCTGCTGATCTCCTGTCGATGAAAGCTGAATAGGTGCAATGCGGGTTTGTGATAGATGGGCTCTTCCTGCAACGTCGTGCACTTGCTTGGCTCCAGAAAGGACGTTGACCTGTGCTTGGATAGTCTCTACACTAGCAGAAAGTTGTTGACAGTCTTGCTGTATGGATTGAACAGTGGAAAGAATTTGCTTCAGCAATTCATGCTGATCTGAAGGTGATGCGGCGTCTCCGGGAGCCATAGCTGGGGCGGATCAGCGTGATCAGTCGATAGGCAAGCCTCTTTATCAATCAAAGTCCCTGCATTTCAGAATTGAGACGAGTCACGATGTGTGTCAGCACTTTCTTTCTCCAAATTCTGGACGTTTTTGTCGCTAAAACATCCGGTACGACAAAATACAAATCACAGGTAACCCCGCGCTTATATTAGGTTTGCCGCTATCTTAGGCCTGCATATCAAGGGTGAGGCTCCTTCAAGTGTACTTTACACAAAGGTGCCTTGAAAGCGTCCGCATAATACATCATCTCCACCGAATTCACCATGGTAGGCTTGCGGCTCCTGAAATGTGCTATACCGTATCGTCAAATCTGATCTATCTTAGGGTAAACGCAAGAAGTCCTCTCGGAAGCCGCAAGGACCGAAAAAGGTGGGTGTTACAAGCCTGTCGCCCTTGTGCGTTGTCTTGTGAATCCGGCTCATACTTTGGGTGCAGAAAGAGCCTCTTCCGACGAATTTCCCATGCCTTTTCTGCAACCACGAGAAATCTGTCTCCGTCAAGCTAGAGAAGAAAGCCGGCATCGGCGAACTCTCTTGCAAAGTCTGCGGTCAGCAGTTCCAAACTGGAATAAATTGTGAGTTCTAGGTTGAGCATAGTATTGCCTTGAATCTTCCACTCCAGTAAACGGCGGCTGACTATGAGTACTACAGACCTCTCTGCGGGGGTTGACGTGTATTCTGACTGGATAGATGCTTGCGATACGGTAGCCAAAGAAGCAGCCGATGCCCCAGCCGTTGATGACGGTTTCAATTCCTATCAAGACTTAGCAGCAGGCAACGAGCGAAGAAATTCAGAAATGAACGTCGACAGGCATTTGGTCGCAGCAGTTGGAGGTAGTGAATATGGTGGAGATTTTATTGATGATGACTAGGAGTACTGTTCATTGCAAGCAATATGTATGCCGGGTCCATGGACGACGGGCGTAAGGTTCCGTTGAAACGCGAGGCACGCTGTCTCTTCGGAGGAACTTAGGAGATAGCTTGACATGATGGAAAATTCTACGACAGATGCTGTGCTGTCCAGCGAGGCATCGACTTCAAAGTTGGCAATCTATATTGCTTCATGGAGCTTTGAGGAACTCCTACGAGCAATGGTACGGAGCAGTGATTTCAGATCGTGGATGCATTGTCCCCAAGGCCTAGGAACCCAGATTTCTGCCCGGACATTCCAACGCTCTGCTTCAGTGCAAGCCCAATGAATGTCAGAAGTGGCATACCGTTTAGCTGCTGTCGTTTCCTGCCTGTAATAAACAATAGCCGGGTCAGAGAGTATAGAAGCGGTCTCCAAAGTCTCCAAGTCCAGGAACAATATAACTGAATCAAACAGTCAATGATCGAAAATCAAGATTAAACTAAAGGGACGCACTTCTTTTCATCTAAACCCTGATCGACAAATGCTGTAACGACACGTAGTCTTGGGAAGCGCTTAGCAAAGCTAGTGACACCTTCAGGGCTGGCAATGATATTCAAGAAAAGGATCCTGTCCTCAGGCACTCTTTTTGACTTGAGGACATCTACAGCCATTGTCGCAGATCCACCTGCACGTGAAATTTAGAATCTTTCAGACACGATTGGAGACCTTGCACACCTGTCGCAAACATTGGGTCGAGGAGCAACACCCATCTCTCCGAAATGTCTTCGGGCAGTTTGTCGTAGAACAGCTTGGGCTTGCTTGTGTCTTCATCGCGCTGAATCAAGATTTTGCCGATTCTGACCGAACGACAGCAGTCACGGAGGCCTTGCTCCATTGCTTCACCCGCCCTCATGATGGAAACGCCGCAAATTTTTCCTTGAAACTTTACCCCGGCGTAGGATTGGCCAACAGGAGTTGTGATGGTATGGCCAATGACAGGAAGGTGGTTCAAACCTTCCTCAACAAGGAGTCGGATGATACGGTTTGAATAGAAGATGAAATCAGCTCTTGCTGTGTTCTTGTCCCGGATCATCCTGGAAAGCAGACGACTCAGATTTGGGATAAAACGAGGTTTCAACAAGAAAGGAGTCGCGTACGTTAAAAGTGCTAAAAGCTGGGATGTCTGTGGCAGTATGTGCACATTGTCATACGAGATTTGGGTCGATACTGTTGCCGTAGGCTTCTGTGCATCAGGACGATAATCTGGACCAACGCGGTGCGCTGGAGCTGTGGTCCCTGTCGTGGAGGACATATTGGGCTGAAAGTAATGGTGGAGAAGATTAACAATAAATAAACCACAGCAAGCTGATCGACCACACGAAGAACAGTCGACAGACTCCCAATCGTAGAGTAATGTATTTACTCACACGTGAATCTCTCAAGACTTTTTCAAGCATTATACAAATCAATTCATTCAGATACTTGTTGTAAAATACGTATATACAGTTGGCGAAAGTACCTGGAGGTCGTACTGCGTAAGACTGATCCAGAGGCAGGTACGAGGCTCTTATCCAAAGGGCCCCTGTCATGAGATGCCTTAGGGACACTCATAGGGCCACTAGCGTAGGCTTGGCACCGCACATATCTACCTGTAGATCACATAGATCAATCAATATCTTTTACATCACACACATATATAAATTAAACTATAATGATTTCTTAACAATTAATAGCAACATCTAGCCCTACTTTATAGAATATTTAGGCGTTTTTCTAGACGTTTACGTAAAGTCTATATTAATATTTAATAGTATAACATCTGCAAATCTGAAAAGTTCCTGCAAAATTTGAAATTGCTGATCGCGCGTTTATCGCGGAAATTACAAAATCCGCCAAATTAGTAAATCTAATTAGAATCTACCTAAATTCCGCCGGTTCAGTAACTATCTTAATCTTTTCCGTTAGTTCTATTAGTTTAATAGCAATATATATAAAAAAAGAAAAGTTCTAATAATCGACGTTGCGACGATAAGATTCTACGATAACAAGTATTAACGCCAACTTAAATTTAACTATAGAAATTAAATAATTTAATAAAATTAATCGCGTAGATAATACTCTAATATAGCGTATAATAATGCGTATATTAATAATAATATATATTAATATCATATATATATAGAATAGTACTTAGAGTATATTAGAGTATATTACGTAAAATTTTTAAAGTTACTAAAAATTTTTAAAGTTACTAAACTAATAGAACTAGCGAAAAGAATTAAATATAAATAAAGTCTACTTAATAGACTAAATCGTTTTAGTTACTTATAGTACGAACCCGGCGAAAATCGTATGAAAATTCACTTTTCAGATTTGCAGATGAACGCTTTAAGCCGATTCTTATATATACTCGCTATTATCGAGTATCTTTTAATAAAATCTTATTCGAGTTAATTCTTTCGCTAGGTCTATCGATATTATAATAAATTTATACGCTAAAAGACTAATCTTATTTACGTTATAACTATACGTATATTTAAATATCTCTATTATAGTCTATATTAACTTTTATCGAGAATTTAACTCTACTTTTTTATCTTCGAATTTAATAGTATACTTATTATACGATCTTAATTCTTATAACTAAGATAGTAACGATACTTAATTTTATAAGAAAACGCGAAATATATTAGATCTAATACGTTATAGGCCTTAGCGCTACTTACGTTAAGACGTCGATATCGCGTATTCTACGTTAGAGTCTCTTTTAGAATCTAATTTTAATAATATATTCTATATACTTAAGGGCTTAACGAATATAGGTCTACTTTATATACCTCGAAGTTTTAATATTTCTTAGAGATTAGTTCTACTATTAAATATACTATTAAATCTTATAACGATATTATATTTTTTATAGTCTATATTCACTAGCTAATTACTAGTAGACTACGCCTTTATAATTTTAATCTCTCTATCTTTTAAAGAAAAAGGCCTATTATTATTACGATATTAAGTTTATCTCTAGATTATATAATAGAAAATAAAGATAATATTAAGAGTCGTTATAGCGTCGATAATAAGTTTAAGAATTTCTTATTAGTAAAAGATCTTACTATAGAAGAACGTCTTATAATCGCTAAGATCGAAAATCGTCGCTTAAAATAAAAATAAGAATTAACTACGTTAAAGGCTTATAATCGCGAGCTTTATAACGCTAGCTTATCGTTTATAACTAGCGAAGATCTATTTATATTAATTACTATCGCCTCTCTAGCGAATATATTAATTAAGATAAAAATACTTTATTTTAAAAGAATATATCTTTATAAGAGTATTAGTAAGAGAGAGTATCTACGCTAATTTCGCGAAGTTAAAATTAAGTTTCTTATAAGTTCTAAATATTTCACTATTAACTAATTAAGAATTATCTATTATATATAATTTTTAAAAGATAATCTTAATACTTAATAGTATAGATACTATTAAATCTATAATCTAGAAAATATAACTTTCGAATTTTTTAAGTAGTTTCTACTTGATTTAGTAGCGAATTTAATAAATCGCTATCTTCTCATCTACAAAAAGTAGAAGAAGACTAAATAACGCTTCGATTAGAAGATATCTATTTTTAAAATCTATTTAAAGAAGCTAGAGGCCTATATAATCCTATTTTCTAAGAAGTATTAAATTAATTTTTTCTTAGCTAAGCTTAGATTAGAGTTTAAGAATAAGATTCTAAGTACTAGTAATATATCGAAATAACGAAAAAAAATTCTTACTTAGATTATTATATAGAAAAAGATTTTAAAACGTATACGCTTTAGCGGCGATTTTTATTTAAAGTCTTCGAGGGGATTCGCTAAGGATAAGTCTCTAAAAGATCGAATTTCGAAGTTTAAATTAATTTTAAATGACGGCGTTTATATAGCGCGTATTTAAGACGATAGCGTAAAGTATAAAGTTAAATCCTTTAATTCTAACTATAAGAAGAATAGTTATTTTTATTATAATAAATAGAGTTATTAGATATCTAAGTATTTAGATCTCGATAAATTATCTATAATCTATATCGATATAATATTAATAAAAAAAGATTTAATCTTATAATCGCCTTAGAAGCGAGATAAAAACGACGATTAATAGAGATAATTTCTTCTATTCTTATAAAGAAGTAAATAAAGCTTTAGAGTAAATAGAGGTAACTCGTTACTCTACTCGACACTAAGGCGTATATTAATTTAATTTCATAAAAGTTCGTAATTTAATAAAATTTAAAATTTTATAACGTTATCTTATTATAATTAAAAGCGCTAAATAATTAAAGTATATATTGCTATAGCGCGTATTAGCTAAATTATTAGTTAATAAATAGCTAAAATTAAAATAAAAAATATAATATATTCTTCTATATTATTAACTAAAAAGACTTTAATATTATATTAGATATATTTAGACTAAGTTAATTATAAGTATTATTAAACTTAGCGATAAAGTAATAATAATTTAAAATTAACGCTAGTAAACTATAAATTAAAGAATTAATTAAATTTACTCGAACTATTAAAGAGAAGCTAAATATATTTATAATTATATATATTATAATAACGCGAAGCGAATTAGAAAATAAGTATAATCTAAAACTTTCTTAGAAGTTATTAGAGTTTAATAACTTTTTTTTAATAAAAAAGTAGAGATCTTATTTACGCTTAAGTAGAGAGATTATATTATTAAAATCGAGAGCGATAAAGAGTCGCTATATAGTTTCTTATATAATCTATCTTAAACGAAGTTAGCGAAGCTACAACGCTATCTAAAGAGCTCTCTTTAAAAAAATTAAATCTATTATTTAACTTTCTTAGTCGAAATACTAATTCTTTTCATTTCTAAAAAAAATAAGAGACTTTATCTTTATATTAATTATCGAAGTCTAAACGCGATAACTATTAAAAATCGATACTTATTATCTCTAATTATCGAGACTCTAAACCGCTTATATAGATCTAAAATCTTTATAAAGCTAGATCTTAAGAATATCTATTATTAAATCTAAATTAAAGAAGATAATAAGTAGAAAATAGCGTTTCGCAGTTGCTACGACCACTTCGAATATTTAATTATATCTTTTAAACTTATTAATATATTAATAACTTTTTAAGTATATATTAATAGAGCTCTTATAAATCTAGTAAATATAACGTATATAATATATTTAAATAATATTCTAATTTATAGTATTAATTTAGCGAAGTATTAATATTATATTAAGTAAGTGCTTAAGTATTTACGCTAGTTTTAACTATACGCTAATCTAAAGAAGTATTAATTCTATATTAAATAGATTAAGTTTCTAGAGTTTATTATATTTATCGAAGATATCGTAATAAACTAGAAATATATCGCTATTATTAAAAAGTAGCTAAAATTAAAAAGTTATTAAAATATATAAGTCTTTTTAAACTTTATTAATTTCTATCGATAATTTATCTATAACTATTTTAGTATAATAGCGTTACTTATTAATTTACTTAAAGAAAATAAAAATAGTAAAAAATCTAAATTGCTAGAGTAAATAGATAACGCTAAGCTAGCGTTTTAATAGCTCTAAAGTATTTTTATAATCGCGTTATTTCTATACTACTATAATTTAAATTTAAAATTATATCTTAAGATTAATACTTCTAACTTCGATATAAAGACTATCAGTATATATAAAAGAATAAGGTAGGGCTGAGCTTGGAAACCTTGAATTTGTATGTGCAGCCAATCATAAATTCGGGTCCTTACGCTTTTTGGTTAGACCGGCTGAGTCAGCCCGGTAGCCCTCCCGAGCTCCCTCATCAAAAATTTATGTGTAGAAGTTTTACACTCTGAAATAACCAGCTCCCTACGGATGCTATTTCTTCATAATTTCGTAAATTATAGAGCTCATGTGCGCTTTCTAACGCTGTAAAAATTATGAAGTTTGGCCTACTATTGGTGGATTAAATGGACATTCAAATATGGTAGTCATGGTAGTCACACCAGACGCGTCCGGGATCGGATAATAATCCTTCCACCTGTTTTTAACCATTCTTCTTCCACTATTCTACCACTACCAATTCCACCAATATGAACACAATCGTCTTCGGTACCCCTCGCCCAAAGGTTCTCAACGTCTCAGGCACGTACACCCCTTTTGCCCGCCTCTTAGAGCCCCTACTGACGCCCCCAGGTCACCCCTCGGCGAATCCGCTACTGCTGGCAATCGAGGCCGCAAGCGAGCCAACAGCTACCTACTACTGCTCATAAACGCGTTAGAAGGCCCTTCAA